TTTACTGAGTCATTCGACATCACTCACTAATCAACTAGACAAAACCGACACGCACCGCCTAGTCGTTCATCCACAACAGCCAAACTCTTCCTGAAAGCGTCCTCAGCTTGCTGTAAGCTGCTTTTTGATTGGTCGGATTCATACCGGAACAGGAAGGTTCGCCCAATGGTGGCCAGCGCTCTCTGCTCCTCTGCATGATCTCCGACTGAGCGGGCCAGGTCCAGATGACAACGCTGGTGCTGGAGAACAAAACATCTCACTCTTCAGTATCAGAGTTAAAGACGATGGATGGAGGGATGAAAGTTATCGATTAATGAGTAAATCGACTAGAGATGAATTGATAAGCGGCTACTTTCTTAAAAACTTTTATTTTTTCTTGTATCAAAAGGATTGACCATCTTTCCATAACAAATGGCGGCTAAACTACAACGCTAAAAGAAGGTTTAAGTGGACTTTATCAGTTAATCCATTGAAACTAATTTTAATCTAATTGACCATTAATGAGTCAAGGCTTTTTTGTACAGAAAACCAACCTTCAAAGCGGCTTCGATTTTCCCCATCTCAGCGTAGCACTCTCCTATCTTACGGTTTGCTACAGCGCGTCCAATCACGTCATTCAGCGCTTCAGAGAGCAACAGCTCCTGTTGGTGTTCCTTAATGGCGCCCTCATAGTCACCTGAGGTGCAAAATAAACACAATAAGACAAACTGAAAAAAGGAACCATGGACCCAGGAAAGCTGAAACTGATTATTATTTCTAATTATTTACTCATTTGATTCTTTCAAATATTGTGTAAAAATAGCTTAAGTTGCTAAATGAAAAATTTGCTAAATGTGCCAATGTTTTTATCCAATTAGTTATCGAAATAAGTGATAGAATAATCAACTACTAGAATAACTGTTAGTTGCAGCCCAAAGTAAAACAGATCATTGCAAAGACGCTCAGAAGCTACAGAAAAGTTTGAAGTAAGAAGTATGAGAAGTAAAATGAAAACCAAAAATACTGTTGATATATGGGTGAAACTAAAGTAAATAACAGTATTTTAAAAAGTTACTTAATTTCAGTTTATTGGTCATGTTTTTGGCAACAACTCCTCTTTGCTCTCAATATTCAGACATTTGGAAACCAAATGTTTATATTTGGTAGAGATTAAAACAGAATCTTTTAAAGTAGATGTGTATTCAGTATAATTACAAAATAATTTAATTAAATGCAATATCGTCTCATTAAACCAGTTTCAAAAGTTTGTTTTTATTAGTTTTGATGATTCTCGCTTACAACTCACACACACAAATTCAGTTTATCAGAAAATATGATTAATGAAATCAAGAAGAAAGGATTTTAAAGCATAAATATTGTCCTCTATACAAAGTTCATTCACCTTTTGTCATCACACTTTTTCCTTCCACTAAACTTTTCATTAAATTAATCCAGCAGTCTGAAATGGTCACAACATGGTGTTTATGTATTTTAAAACTGTTTTTGTCTCTATGTATTGGGATGTTAAGTGTAAAACACGTCCTACCAGTCCTGGACAGCAATTCTCCCAGCTGGTTGCAGATGTTAGCCTCTTCCTTTAAGTTTCTGTTAGCCTGAGCTTTGCTTTTAGCTTTCTGCAGCTCTGAAACGCGAACAAAAACAGCGCGGAGGTGAGCACCCTCCTTCTAAGCCAGCAAGAGAAACGTAAACAAAGAGATACTTGCGTTTAATTTCCCGAGAGGAGCTCATCTTTGTCCAGCTAGCGGCAGACCTACAGCTGGGAGGAAACGACAACTTTAGCTTCGCGCTGGTTTCTTAACGGATAAACCGAACAACCTTTAGCTCATTTTAACTGCCGTTTATCTGCGTGTTCGGCATTCATGGTCGGTTCGGGTGTCGGTTTAAAGAAATCAACTATCTACTGTCATAATCTCAGGAAATGATCGCCGACATTTGGCTCAAAATGCACAATAAGCTTCACAGTTCCCCGCCAGGAAGGCGAGAACCAATGACAGCGATGGTTGGTTTACCCGGAGTTTTGTCTGCAAGGCACAGTCCCGCTATCTGAAACATCGAACAGGACAGCGCCACAAAACTCAATTTTCAGCTACATGATTTTACTTTAGACGTTTATTAACACATTTCTCAGAAAATGTAACGTAAAAGTTATAATGCGACAGCCTCATGAAAAATAAAATCTTTCTGAGTAAAAGTCAGTCTAACAGTCAAAACTCAGGGTGAAATTAACGCCTTAAAGTGGAGCCTCTTTCCTAACTTCATTAACAACAAACACAAAATGACAACATTATAATGTTATTAAATATAGACTGAACATGGCCTAAACCAGAGGAGTCAATAAAATTAAAATTTCAACTAACGCTTCAGTTTTTAGTTTGTTTTTCTACTTTTACAGTTTATCAACAGTTATAAACCTATTAAAATGAATCCGAACATGCGTGTTATTATCCATCATCATTCAAGATATGAGAGCCTTAAGTGCTTCTACACAAGGTGACAATTTTATTTTTTTATATTTTTTATCTCAGCATTCAAGTTGGAAAAAGTTTGAAAAATATCAAACATATTATGGGCACACTTATAAGTATGTTTTTTTAAATTTATATTTTAAATATCACCTAGGTAAACATTTTTTAACGACTTATTTTTGAATTGTTGCCCCTTTGGACTTCAGTTTTGAAACAACATACATTAAAATGCTAAAGTTTGATTCTATTCTATCTAATTTGAGCACAACGACCTCCTGTGGACAGTTTGTTAAGTTTCCCTTTAAATTCTCAGGGAGTTTGAAATAAAACATTTAAAAAACACTTATGATAGATTGCTTTCTGTTTATTTTTTGTAAAAAAAAAAAAGTAGCTTGAATAATTAAACGTGATGAATACAGAAAATTGGCAACAATGTCTTAGTTTATTATCTCTGTATCCATTATTAATTTTATTGAGTAAATGTGAATTTGGCGTCCCCTTGTGTTCTGCCCAGTACGTGTACTGCAGCAGGTTGAGGATTATTAAGTTGTTTTGTGACTTGAAGTTTTCAGCTATTTTTTGTTAAACTAAAAGGTTATTACGCTTTTTAAATAGAAATTTGACCAGCATTTGATCATTTCTAGCTCACAGCAAAAATACTTGGATTGGTAGAATCTGAACTAAATGTTGATACATTAAACAGAGATTTAGTAAAATACAGATTTAGCTTTAAGAATAAATTCTGCTGGGAAATTCAGAGTTTATAAATTTTTTTAAATATTACTGAAACCCATTTCATGTCCCTTTTTGACATTGTAAGACTATCGTAATATTGCTTATGTGAATATTTCACAAATGATTTCTTTATTGCATTGTGGAACTTTTGGCATTCCGTACTTTTTTTCTTTTATAGATTTTAAGAATGGATGGAAATGTAAAATTTCGCAAAATTCTGAGAATAAAGTTTCCACTGAATATTTCAAAAGTGTTGAAAAAAGACAATTGAAGTTAGTATATGACTACGGATAATCTATGTATGCACATTCTTAAATCATCGTCATAAAAGAATTTATATAAGCTTATATATGTATACATGTATATGTGTGTTTGTGTCTTTTTTCTAAAGACCTACTTTCTGCACTTTAAACCAGCACAACAACAAAGTCCTGATGTCTAAATAACGACTCTCATGAGACTTTGGGTAATCTGTGAGCCTTGTATTTGCTTGGTCAGTGACACTTTTGTAAACAAGACCTACAAAACTGAAAAACAAATAATGCTTAAGATTATTTAGACCAATTTTTAGACTGACGTAGGTGGAGTTAACCCAAATTCATGATCTTATAATCCAGCTGTGCGGTCTGGAAAGGGGGACACATGGCCAGGCGGATGATGACGTCAGCGCTTTTTTTCACCGGCGTTTACAGAAGAACGGCACGTTTTGATGGAAAAAAACGTGCCCTTTTATTTAACAAACAAATTTAGTTTTCCTGTTGACTGGATTAAATATATCAGCAGTAATTAGCAGGAGAGTAATTAGTTACAATTACTTGAGGAAAAAAATTACTTTTAGGAGTATTTTTGCCACGTTGTACTATTTACTTTTAGCTGAGTAATTTCACTGTGAAGTTACTTTAGTAATTTTTAAAAATACTTTTGGAAATTATAATAAGAAACACAATTAAAATCACACTTAAATAACTTTGTTCAGGCAATAAATCATTAAACATGCTGCGCCATAATCCTCCAACTACTTCCTGTCTTCTTCCTTGTTGTTTTCACCAGTAGTAACATCCGATTATTGATCATGACTTGTAATGTTTCCATTGGTTTTGTGTAACACGTGTATTTTGATACGGCAAAGAAAAAAAAAACACTTTATGATATTGCTGAAATTTTTCAACAAAAAAACCCTGTATGTTCAAACTTAGCGTGTTTCCAATCAGTACATTTATTTTCATAATTCCAATTTCTGCAAATTTACAATCGAAGTGTTTCCATTAAGTAGGAAGCAAAATTAAAATCACATATAAATACGTTTTCCACGCCACTAAAAAAAATCATCAGCCAGCTACTTCCTGCTGTCTTCTTTGTCGTTTCTACCAGTAGTATTGTCCGGTTATTGATCACGAATTATGTGCTCTGAAAAAAGTGTTTCTATTGCAATTTTGTGAAATAAACAAATTTTGATACAGCCCAAAAAGAAAATAGCACCTGATCCTAGTGCCCAGACTTCATTATTTTTTTAAATTGATGTTTCAATTTTGCAAATTTATTTTTGTAATTTGAATTTATGCAGTGTTACGGCCGATGGAAACACAAGTATTGAAAAATAACGCAGCAAGCAGCAATATTCAGAAGGAAAACCTCTGCTGCCATTGGAATGTATAAATGTAGAGCATCTTTTCTCCGCTTCCTCTCTGCTTCTGTGTGTCTGACCTTCCAAACGAGCGCGCTGCATCACTACGAGAATTGGTGATTCTGGGCGGCGCAATGAGTGGAGGAGAGCGCATCAGAGCGCAGGGTATCTGAAAACAGCAGAGAGGCAGGCACATCCGCCGCCAGAGGGATCAAATCTGTACCATCTGACGCTCAAGGATTTATGGGTTTAGTCAAAATTGCTTTTCCCACTGTGGAGATTAAGCACAGTAGGATGTTTTCCTCTCAGCGCGGAGAATAGCCGGGTTGCTGCTGCCGTTTTCCTACGTCTTATCGGCTCCTCCGGTGCTGGAGAAGGGAATGTCTGAGGAGGGCAGAGTGCTGGAAACCCCGGTGGGAAGCGGATTCTGACTGACAGGAGCGGTCCGGGGAATGTGAGCCATGCAGGCGGAAACGGTTCTGATGCTTTTCTGTGTCTGGATGGCAGGAACAGCGGCGAAGATGGTTCAGCCAAGAGGTCACAAGCTGGAGCCCTACAAACAAACCAGGTAACGACTCACAGGTGACAATTAGAAAAAAAAAAAAAAAAAGAGTAATTTTCATCCAATAAACTCAGAAATTTTACAGAAAAACAAGAAAACTCTGTCACCTCAAAAAGTTGTAAATTTGCAAGAAAAAACTCTGAAGTTTTCATATTAATCATAGAAATATTTTAGAAAAAACAAAGACACATTTGAGTTCCAAAACTTAAGCATTTGTGGAAAAAAAATATCAGAAATTTTCTAGAAAAAATGTTACATTTTGAACTCGAAAAACCGAAAAATGTTCACTTTTCAAACATTTTCAAATGAGCTTAGAAATATTCTTGAACTAAAATAGCTCTGAGATTAATCTAATTTTTTTTCTCACAAAGTTTTGACTTTTGAAGTTCAGAAATTTTCAAGTTTTTTCAAGAAGACTCAAAACTTCTGAGTATTTTTTCATTGTATTTTAGTATTATTCTTGCAAATTTGTGACTTTTAGGCTCATAAATATTCTTGCTTTTTCTAGAAAATTTATTAAATCAATCTAAAAATTTCTGAGTTTTTGGCAGACATTCACTTCTTTTTTCTATCTACAATGCTAACAGCTATTGAAAGAAAGAAAATAGTTTAAGCAGAAATAATTTAGACTGTAGAGACTGTAAGTTTTATTCCCCATTTGTAGTTTATTTTGCATCCACTTTTTTTCCCCTTTTCCCTGCATCACCTGGACGCTCCCTCCCCTCAGAAAACAGACTTATTCAGACAGCAGGTCGGCCAGATGAGAGAGGGAGACCTAAATCCCAAAGTCTATTTATGTACGACGGGACGATGCTCTGTTCTCTTGGCCCACAACTGCTGCAGGGCAGATAATGACTGTTTTCCCACTGGCTGTAGTTGTAGCCAATGTCATTTCCAGGTGATTATTTAGGCTAATTGCAGCCTGGTTAATGTGTGCATTGGATTAAATGTTTTTACTGGGGTCTAAACTGGATCAGTCGATGAAACATCTGTTTCCAGTTTAATGACTGGAAGTAATGTCTCAGGACTGACCTCTGGCATTCGGATCATTTATGTTTAACAAGTATTTTAATTTTAAAAGTTAATGTCATCTGATCACCAAAATAATTTATAAATTTTAATATGATTAATAAACTGTCAAGGTTTATGTTCATTGCAGGTGTCATTATAATCATTTAGGGACAAAAATAAATAAATTGGGGTTTTTTTCTTACAAAATTCACAATTTTTTTCCATGAATTAACCCATTTCTCATTTTTGAAGCTCCATTAATGTTCATAATTCCTGTTTTTTAAAAATCAAAGAATAAATCTAGCCATTTTTTTACACTTATCATGCATTTTTATTAAGAAATATTATTTCGATCAGGAAGTCTTACTAAATATTAGGTGCAGGATGTGAGAGTGCTAGCGTCTGAATAAAATTTGAAAATAATTGTAAAGTAGGGCACAGCTAAAGCTCACCTAGTTTAGCTGCAACATGCTGCCTTTCTGTCTGCACTTCACATTAAAAATGAAAAATAAATGCGTTTAATGTTTAAATCCAGGCTTTTTTAACTACATCCCCAATTTTCAAAACAAGTCTGCCATTTGATCTAATGATCAAGCTTTTCTAATTGTCACCAGGCCTTTCAGAATGAAACTAACTTTTCTAAGTAGTTTAAATTCTTCTCTTCGTCTCCATTTACTCTGACAGCTAATTAAAACAGGCAGCGTCCCTGTAGGCGGAGTGCTGATGCTTAAAAATTTACACTGACTGAAGAAAACGCTCACAAAAACAAAAAAAAAATAACTCACTGGTGTCAGATTACGTATTCTAGTCCTGTAAGTATTCCCCTACTTATTTTTAATCTATTTCTTAAGAGAAGAGCCGAAGGCTAAGAACTGGAGCTAACTAGCTAACAAGTTCGTTTTGCTGCGCCAAGAGACGTTATTTGCGCATGGGTCCGTTCTTCTTCTTCTTTGTTATAATGGCGTTTGTATAACAAGTGAAGGGAACATTACCGCCACCAGCTGGTAACCCTAACCCCTGAAAGATTGGCATACGTCTGTGTGGTTTTTAAAATGTCATGCGATTTATCCAGACTTCCTTTGCGATCGACATATTGATCTCCTATCAACAATTATTCAATGTTTTTCTTGAACTTTGTCCCTTTTGACATTGGAACCACACCAGATAGGCAACATTTTTACCAGTTAAAAACTAAATTAAACAGGATTATATTAAAATTCAGATTAATCTGTATATACGCGACTGAATTGTTTGGTTTTAATTGCTTATTTTTGGCGGGAAAAGGTCCAGTTCCATAATTTTGTCTTGAATGGAATCAAAACAAACACGATTATTGTAGATTTTTTAAGAGACACATAGAAAGGTATAAGATTTTCATTATGAACTGTGGTGGGCACACTTCTGCTAACGAGCTAACAAGCTAGTAGGTAATTTTCATTTAGCGCTTTTGCTAACTTTGAAAATGCTTAGCACACTTAGATTCCTTTGATATATTTTAAAAATAAATTGTAACTTTCAGTTGAATAATCTGTTTTACAGTTTTTGTTACGAGTTTTTCAAGTAGTTAGCTGTTTATATTCATGCTCTTGTTTTGAAGTGGTTGAAATCTGTTTAATCAGCAATTCCGTTTCCTCTCCTCATTTTTCTGCAAATAATTTTACCCAAAGCAATAAACATAACACTGATAGTAGAAAACAAGATGTAAACATAAATACATATTTTTGGGTGTTATGTAAATTATGATGTCAAAAGTAAATTGATGTTCTAAGGTTGTAGTCTGTCACGGGCAGATAAAATATGAACTGAAGTTAGCATTTTAGCACTAGCAGAACTAATGCGTATGATTATGGCTTTAGGGTTAGCGCAGCTAGCTTTTTAGCTAGCAGCACAGACAGTTACATTATAATAGAATGTCTTCAGTCAGAGGCTCCTTAAGGTACACTGCAGTACAGACAGCAACAGGAGATCTCTCCTGCCCACAGGTAAACTCTGCACAACTCTATGAGGAAACATGGATGAACTACATTTACGTTCTCTTTATTATTATTAATAAAGTGCTTTTGAATTAAATTGTAGTTTCAAATTGGTATAAAATGGTGCCATATTAAACAAGAAAAAATAACAGAAAGAAAATGCCGTAATTTTGTCTTATACAGTGGCATAAAACTCTGGCACCCCTTGCTAAAGCTCTTCAGATGTAATTGCATCATTTTGTAATAAGCAAAAAGTGCATTTCTTTGAATTGCTTCGGGCATCGCTTTCAGTTTGGTTGCCACAGAAACTGTGCAATCATAAATACAACTTCTGCAAAGGCATAAGGTAAATAAGCACTTTGAACAAACAAAAACTCAACTTTAAATGTGGGGAAAAAAGAAGAGAAAGTTCTCAGTGGATGGTAAATACACAGCAGCGGTCTCAGTTTGTCATTTAAAAATATATCAGCACTAAGTGCAGCTGCAGCCTGTTGCCTGAAGTGAGAAGCTGTCTTTGAATTAAAATCTGCTAAAGATGATAAGATTTCCCCAAAGTGTGCCAGAACAGCGCTGAACGCCTCAAAACGCTATCAGCATCCACTTAATATATTCAACAAACCCTGTCAAATCATAATCCTCCCCTGCATTTAGATGCAGTGTTACTTTTTATGCTTCAGATGGTTTTGGTAGATCAGAAAAACAAGTTCATTATTAAGACTCTCCTCCATCTGAAGGAAATAAAAAGGTTTTAATTAACAAACAGCTACTGGGTGCAGAGATCTTGATAAAATGGTTAAAGTTAATGAACTGGTTGGTTTTCAGAAAGAAAGAAAAACTGCTCTGGTGAGATGATCATTAAAATACAAGCAAAACTTAGTTAAAATTATTATTAGTATGACAGGATATGCAGCTCCAAACTGGTGTGTAATCTTTAAATGCCAGTAGCTACGTTTTTTCACAGATGTGCGCAAAACTTTGTCCATATCTCGGTAAAAATTTGTATCATGTAAATTTTCCATAAAATAATAAAGGCAGTTTAAATCATCCATGAATGCTTCTGTTCATGCGATAAATCATTAAAAACTTTATCCTTTAACTACTTTCTATTGTCTTCTTCTTCATTTCCACCAGTAGTAACATCCTGTTGCTGATCACGTGTGATATATAAAAAATTGTTTCCATTGTAGTTTTGCAAAATACCATTTCGCTACAGCCAGCCTCCTCCTAACGCAAAAACCTTTAATTTAATGTTTTTATTAAGCAAATTCATTTTAAGAATTCCAATTTACACAATTTTGCAGTCAATGGAGACACAGATATTGTGTTATCAACTAAGAGCACCTGCCTTTCCATTGATCTTAAAATTACCCAAATTATTCTTAAATTTACTTAATTTTGAAAATGCATAAAATGTTTTTTGCTAGAATGAAGTGGTTTTATTTATTTCACAACACTAATGGAGACACTTATTTTGATCACACGGGTCACATGATCAACAACAGGATGTTACTTCTGGAAGAAACATCGAAAAAGAAGACAACAGGAAGTGGCTGGAGGATTTTTAACAACATATCGTGTAAACAAACTTATTCACATGTGATTTTAATTGTGTTTCTTACTTTAGTGAAACATTGTTTTATTTTATGTTAGCAAAACATTACAGTTTTGCACACATTTGTAAAGAAAATGCAGCTTTTGTTTCCATTAACCATAAAATTATGAAAATACATTAACTTAATCCAAATGTGTACATTTTGAGACATAATTACACTTTTTGGAGCTAATATGAGGTGTTGTTTATTGGCTGTATAAATTTTGATTTATTTGGCAAAACATTTTTTGGCATCACATGCGTCATGTGATCAACAACAGGAAGTGTTTGGAAGATCATGGCACTGCATGTTTTTTAACAACATATCAAATTAACAAACTTATTCTCTTGTGATTTTAATTGCATTTCTTATTTAATGTAAAAATCGCAATTGCAAAACTGCAATTTCACAAATTTTGCGTACATTTTTAATGGAAACGCAGCTAGTTTGCTGTTTCTTCCTATTAAAAGTCACCTCACATCAAACTTCTCCCTGCTGGCACATGCAGGCTCTGTTAATTCAATTTGAATAAAAACCTCAGACATTTATATTGGATTCAACTCTTCCCCTCCTCTGTTTCTCATCACCTGTCTCCTGTCTTGACTGCGAAATCCCCAAAGCGACCAGGAGCTGCTGGGTTTGAAAAGTCAGGAAAGACGAGATGCACAGAAAGAGAACAGCAGAGGAGAAAACGCCTCACAGTGGAGATGCTAAAAATCCACTTTCTGAAGGGAAAGAGCCAACGGCAAAATTTTTACCATTTCAAAATGAACAAATTTAGCATTTTGTGTTTTATTTAAAGAACATTAATTGAAACTCCTACAATTTTCTGTTTGTAAATAGTTTGAGTTATTTATCTAGAAAGATGCACAGACTGTTGTCAAAAATTACTCTGAAATGATTATAAAGATATTTCTGCTTTCAACAAAGCAGATATTAAATTATTTGTAATTGATTTATGTTTTATAATTCATTCAATATCTAACATTTAATAGGATTAATGCGTTTAAAAACAATATTTGCCTTCTAAGTGTTTTATTTACAGTTATCCCGCTGCTTTCAGTTGCTGCTGCTGTTATTTGTAGGCCTGCTGCTAGTAAACACGTCCAAAATGACCTCTGCACAAATTTGGCCCAGTAACCGTGCTGCGGCCTCAGCAGTGATGTATTCCCACAGCTGCAGTGGCGAACAACGCAGGGACAGGCGGCCTGCATGTGCCACAGGCCAGCAGAGAGGGGATTGCAGAGGCATTTCTGCCAAGAGGATTAAGAGCCAGCTGCTGGGTGGATGTGTAGCATCCACTGGCCCAACACCGACTGCGCTGCAGCTTTAACCCAGTGAAACCTTGTTCCTTCGCTCTCCATTATTCCCCCTTTTGTTTTTCAGTCTCTGTGTCTCAGCTCCGCTCCGTCTTTGATATTTCCTTAATGCACGTCTTCAGTCGACAGGGATTTAGCTTCGCCTGTCACAGCATAGCGCTACTCTATTAATCCAGTTTTGGGTTTTATTTTTTAATCTATTCTGTCCTTCTTTCTACTTGTGGCCCAAAATTTATACCTAAGGCACAAAGCAACTGGCGGCCATGTTGGAAAGTAACACCTTGGTGACTTGGTGCAAAATTTACCAACTGGCTGCATAATAACCAGAACTAGATAGTAACTAGTTACATTTACTTGAGTAATCTATTTGGGAAAAATATACTTTTAGGAGTATTTTTACTGTTGCAAAATTCACTTTTTGATCATTTGTATGAGTCTAATTGGGCTGCAGCTGCTTCTAAAAACACCCACTTGTTCTTTAGCAATAATTTCATAATTTTTGGTGTCTGGAAAGTGAGCTGTTTCAAAAGTGCCATTACCTAGCAGACACAGCAGAGCCCAGTCTGTTAACTAGCAACCCATGCTGAGTTCCAGTTTACTGCTGCACAATGGCTGCTGGAAAAGACAACTGTTTTTGTTGTTCACTTACCACCCAGAAATTTCTTTCTGTGTTGTTGTTGATTGTGCAGCAGGTTACCCTTCTGTTTTTCAAAGACGTACGGTTGCATAATTGTGCATTTGTTTGGAACCATTTTTGTGAGCGAGTGTAAACATTGAGGTGGAGATTTATATTCTCTGGCTAGCAAAATAAAACTTATTACGGCGGTAAATGCCGCATGACTTCTTGAAAAAGGACAACTTATAATTTTAGATAAATATCAACTATACTACAAAATAGTTATCTTTTTTTAAAAGAATCATTCATTAATTTCTATTTTTAGAATTTAAAATAAAGCTACAATAAAATTTAGCAAAAAACAGAATTGTTTCCAATCAGAAACATATTTTAACATCAGACAAATACAACTTGAGTAAATAAAAAAACCTTTTTACATTTTATGTTTTATATGTTACAGAAAAAAATCTGTCCAATCACAACAGCTCTTAATAACTTTGAATGAAGTTTAAAGAACCAGCTAATATTTTAAAATTTAGATGTAATAACAAACAGGTTTTATTATTTAAGTGTAACAAAACTGTAAAATCAAAAGAAATACATAAAATGATAGAAAAAACAATATTAATAAATCTGCCATAATGTTTTCTGTTTTAAATCACCAGGTCACGAAGAGACACCAGAATGGAGGGAGGAGGTGGTCAGAAGTCTGGAAGGTAAAATGCATTTTCTTTTTTTAAAATAATAATATAAAAGTTTATATTTCACAAACATTTTGCTTTTATTTTCCAAATAGTCCAATTTACAAACGAAGCCCAGACCTGACGAAAAACCCGATGACAAAATCTGAGCAGCTGCTGAGAATAGATGATCACGATTTCACCATGAGGCCGGCATTTGGAGGTTAGAAACTACTTTATAAATTAAAACTCTCCGAAACGCTACACTAAGATCCAATCAGTTTTTTTCCTGTTTGTGTTGTTTTTGTTTTAGCCTTTTAGTCCTGCAGGCTCTAATCTCCCTGAAACTTTAAGAACGCTATTATCAGCAGCAGCTCTGCTTCATGTTTTCATTTTGTTTTCACTGGAAGGATTGTTGAATATTATGCAAAGAGAAATGCAGACTGGAGGACAGTAATTATATACTGTATTTGTTATCTTTTACACTGTAAAACATAAAATATTAGTATCTTAGTACACTTGAACAGGGTCGGTCCAAGCCTTTTTGGGGCCTCTGGGTCTTGTCTTGTTATTTGGGGGGTCCCCAAAAATGATGCTTCATTGTTACTATACTGCTCTATGTGTAGCATCGCTGCTATCGTGTAGCTTACATCATACCAGTTATGGCTGTTGATTTTTAACTTACAGGAGCAGCAAACTAAAAAAAATATTTGGACCTTGAAATACAGAGTGGTACACTGCAAAAACACAAAATGTCAGCAAGTAATTCTTGTCCAATTTTCAAAGCAAATGTCTTAGTAAACTTGAAATAAGACAAAACTGACTTTTAGGCAATTTTTCAACAAGATGCAGGAGCTTGTTTAAAGCCAATAATTTCTCAATAATGATGAAAATGTTCTGCTTCTGCTTTTTGGTAGATTATCAGTAGATTATTTTAGTTATAGCAAGGGAAAAATGTTTTGCTATAAGTGGAATAATCTGCAACAGACTAGGACTTTTTCATCAATATTAAGGAGTTATTAACTTAAAACAAACTCCTGTATCTTGCTGAAAATGTACTCATAAGTTAGCTTTGCCTTATTTCAAGTGGACAATAGAAACTAGACCAAAAATACTGTGTAAGGTTGTGTGTTTTTGCAGTGTTGATTCTCCTATAATGCAAAAACAAAAGCTTATTTTAGCAGCAACAAATCAGCTTTTAATTTGCGACATGTGCTGCTATTTTTTTTTAATCACAACAATCCACAAACACAAAGTGATGCTTTGCAGGATTGTCTTTGTGATGTCCAATGTGAAGCATTGAAGAGGAAAAGAGAGTTGTGTTGCATCAGCTTTCATCTGTTATGACCTGATTGTTGTTTTGTGCTTGTGGGAATTTGATGATGCAGAGTACAGGGGCTGAAATAGGTCAAAGATAAATCAGAGCCTGACTGTCACAGCTGGAGCACGAACATTTGCTGTGTTGCTAGTGCCTGAGCCATTGTCTTTTCTTTTAAACACTGTCTCTATTTAAAAAATGTAAACACATCCAGGAAATATGAGCTACTTCCTCAAAAATACAGTTTTAGAGTTTTTCAATGAAAGTTTTGGCATCTGAAGCATGAATGTTACTAGAATCAACACAGAAATGAAATGTTTTTTGAAGATTGTAGCCAAAAATATAGTTATTTCCTTTCTGTAAGAATTAAAGCTGATTGAAGGTGTAAAAATGATCAAGATTTGGCTTAGTGAAAAGACAATTTTTGTTTACACTGGTCTAATTCAAAATTTTATGTTCTATTATAATTAAAAGAAAACACGGCAGTCCATGTAATACTAAAAAACATACGTAATAGCATTAAATAACACAAACTAAATGCTATTACATATGAAAAAGTAATTTCTATATTGTTTTTATAGTTGTTATGCAAATAATAGATTAATCTTTTCTTATTTCTTATAAGATATAAAACTTGTTAACTTCCTGACTGTAATTTAAATTTAAACTGCAAGTGATACTTACAAATAGTTAAAGTAATATGGCACACTTAAAAACCAATCTGAATTTCAAAATCTAAATATTTCTTTTTTAAGTTTGTTTTTCCTGTAAGGTTAGTATCATCAGCGGTGGTTACAGTGGTATGATGTAAGTTAATTACAAATTATGCTAATGATAGCAGGCATGTCACACATAGAGTAGCGTAGGAATAGTGAAGCATCTGGTGTTGGCATGTTAGTATTGGGGGCTCCATTAAAAATCTGCTTTGGGTCCCAAAAAGGTTTTTCGCAGGCCCTGGCGTTACCATAGTGACAGTACATTGGACAGAGTAATGGTTTGTTTTATGAAAGAAAAATTATGCAACATTAGTTTGGAAGGTCAGAAAAAACATTTATTTTTTAGAAAGTTGTTTTAATGACTAAAATAAGACTTTATTTTGACTAGACCTTAAAATCAGCTGGCCAGCTGAGAGGAGAGTTTTTGTGGGTGAAAGGTCACAATGATTGCGTGTTTAGTGACATTGTTTCTTATCTTCTAGAAAAGCAGAAAATAATATTTCAACACAATGACTTTTGAAATGAATTATTTTTCAGGTCCTCCAATACCTGTTGGTGTTGATGTTCAGGTGGAAAGTATTGACACCATCTCTGAGGTGGATATGGTGAGCATGGCAGAGCTGTTTGGGTTCATAAAAATCATTTCAAATTAAAAAAGAAGTCATGAATTACAGGTTACACTTATTGGACATAAAGAACTCCATTTAATGGTAAGAAAATAAATAAATTACATTTAAGGGATCGAGTGATAGTTCCCACAAGTCTGAAGTGGAAGTGATCCGCACCACTGAACCGCCATCTTGGTAGGAATGAAATAACAGCTGTAATGTACTTACATTGTTTATAAATTAGCAACTCCTTAGCAACTGTCATAACAGTCAGTTACGAATACCTGCCAAGATCGCTGTCAATTACGAAGTTCCTGTAGGGGTGACATCACAGGAGAACTGTGTCTTCTGATGATATCACTAAAATAAATGTGTTTCTGTGTCTGATGCTCGTTTGTTTGGGAAGTGTTGCACATTTGGCTAGCCGTTAGGGTTAGCGTTGATGTTGCTATGAGCTACTGATCAGATGTAACTGGCAGACATTTTCTAAAATTATTTATTACAATTTTTTTTGAAATAGTTGCACCATTTTAGTATCAAAGTTTGAGTTTACAGATTTTAAATTTTTATTAGAAACATCAATAATGAGATTATTTATATTTTGGGGGAAAAACATGCAAACCGCTAAAACATAAAATGTAAACATTGCCCAAAAGCTTGTTTTACATTTTATCACACAAGCTAACCTAATGTTATTAAGAGTTTTAAAGCATATTTACAACAGGTTGTTCCTCAAAATGAAATGTGTATCATATTTTTTTTCAATTAACATCCATAATCTTTTTGGAAGATTAAATCTATCAATTTAAATAAAAAGTTATGTTTCTGTTGTCCATCTGTATATAATCTCATCAGAATTTCACTTATGAGACAAATTTGGATGTTTGTCCTGCCAAGTGCATTAGAACTTTGTTTCATATTGTTTAATATTTTTGTTCCCACAGGACTTCACCATGACTTTGTATCTGCGCCACTACTGGAAAGATGAGCGGCTGTCGTTTCCCAGCACCAACAACCAGAGCATGACTTTCGACAGTCGTCTGGTGAAGAAGATTTGGGTTCCTGACATGTTTTTTGTTCACTCTAAGCGCTCTTTCATCCACGACACCACCACTGATAATGTCATGTTGAGAGTTTACCCTGACGGTAACGTGCTCTACAGTCTCAGGTAAGAACAAAATTAGTTTTACTTTTCTTCTATCTAATTCACAAAGTAAAGAGCAGTAATGATGCAGGTGTGTAACCACATCTAATGCAACAGTTTGTACATGTCTTCAGTGTAGCTGTTTTTCTTCCTTATTGGCGCCCTGATAAATATTTGTAAAAACCTAATTTGTCTTTTATGAGGGTAAAATAATTTGAGAACAATACTTGAAAAAAATCCAACCTTCAGTCTGAGAACGTTTAACTAGTGATGTTAAAAATATGGCTTTATTTTTGATATCATCAGACACAGGCAATGAAAATAATGACAATACACTCATAATATTACAAGAATAAAATCATATGAGAATAAAGTCAAAATAATGAAGATTAAAGTCATAGTATTATGAGAATAGTCATATTATAACTTTATTCTTGTAATATATTCTCAAAAATGATCATATTGTAGTTTTTTCTTGCATTATTTCCACTTTATTCTTGTACAACTTAATTCTTGTAATAATCTGATTTTATTCTTGACAAATGACATGATTCACATTTAACTATTTTCTTGTAATATTATGACTTTGTCGTCATAATTTTATTTTTTTAATTTCTTATTAGTGTTCTATAAAACTACGTCATACCTAGCAATTTCACATAACATGTTGTAGTAAGGTAATTTTATATATTCCAGTGGTGGGCACAGATAACTAATAATAAACATTAGCTCTGCAATGCATTCTGGGTACAGAATAAATGTCAACATCACTGGTGGAAAACATGTACCGACAAAAATGCTCTCAAAACAGTTCAGAATATTTGTTTTTGTTTAGTTATCAATCCTGGTTGTTTACCTCATCTGTTCGTTTGCCACTTGCTGGCAGAGGAAACAGAACTTCAGCATTAACAAACTTCAAAATAAGAGCATGGATTTAAATATCTAACTACTTCAGGAATTCTTAGAACCAGCAGATGTTGAACTTTATTCAACTGAACCTTTACAACAAAGTTAGCAAAATGTTAAATAGATACAAAAAAAAAAAACTATTGGCTAATCAGAGAACTAAGCACTCTGATTAGCTCTGATTAGCCAATCAGAGTCCCTATCTAATCTCAATCCATGAGTTCCTGTTTTCTTAGGGTGTAACTGTAACCTGGTAAACGCCACAGAAGGTTAGACAATGGTAAGTCTGTTAGTCTTCATAGCAACCATTAAAATTCAAAGTGGATTTTTACAGTGAAAAATACTTTAGTGTGTCCGGCTGCTGTTACAAAACTGAATGTGTGAAGTTTATTTAGCTGTACTTGGATTTCAGTTGGAGCCATGATCTTTGGTCAGACTGGGCAACACAGTTTTCCTGTTAGTTCTGCTGTGAAGCTGGCAACATGTTGGCGTCGCGTCGTTTTACCCTCATTCTGACTCTTTCTTTTTAAGAAACATGAATTTCTCCGGTTCTGGCACAAACACGACTTTTTTGATCAACTATTCCCTCTGATCTTGGATGCTATGCAGCTGGAAGGATTTTTGCAGTTTCTTTTTTTTGTTACTTTTCGGCATGATGCGTAACCATAGCAACAAGGTGTTTTTTTTAAAACTACGAACAACTGTCAACATCAGCAAAGTCCAAGTAATGCTGCTAGTACAGCCCTTTTTGCACTGCAGGGTCCTGCCGGGTCGACCCGAGTCCAGCGGTGCAGCGAAAAATGGGCTTATAAGTTAGAACAACATTTTATTTCCCTTTTGAGATGAATAAAGTATTATTGAATCGATTTAAATTAAATTGAATTACCATGCAACTGACCTTGGGATCCTCTTAGGAAATTAAAATACCACAACAATAAAGCACATTTATGGTAGAATTGGGTGAAGTAATAAAAATAGTACTTTCAAATAGATAAAAACAATTTCTAGACTAATGATTCTTGTTTACTCAACCAAGAATTAGGGTCAAATCAGAGATTGAGTATTGAAAAAATCCACATGCACAAACCATTAATAACAGACAAATCAAAAAATGTGATACAGGTAAAAAATAAAACTTTTTTTTATATTGGATTTTTTCAAATTAAAATATTCCATTTTAAATGGGTTATGCTGCTCAAAAAAATAACCCAGAAGACACACAGATGCATTTAAAAGCTTTTGAACCATTGTTGGAAGTGTGAACAGTGCTTTGAATAGGACATTCCTCTGCCAGCACTGCAGGTAAAATGGAGGCTGAGAGTCTTTTGTTCAGCTGCAGGTCTTGATTGAATATAAAGGATATCGCACAGTTTCACAGTGGAGATAAATCAAGGAGGCTTTTCTAAGTCAGTGAATCATAATGATGAAATCACTCAGCCCTTTCAACACCTGAAGATAATTAATACTGATTACATTTTAAAAGGTAATAGGACATTTTTAACACAGCAATTCAAGACACTAATTAGTTTCCCTGATATAAAACAGAGCAGCTCCAGGTTTAGTGATTCTCATCTGATATTCAGATGAAGGTTTATTGTCTTGGTTTAAGGAGGATCTGCTTTGTCTTTTCTGCAGGGTCACAGTCACTGCCATGTGCAACATGGACCTGAGCCGCTTCCCCCTGGACACCCAGACCTGCTCACTGGAGATTGAGAGCTGTGAGTGAAATGATTTCCAGGGGCAAAGGTCAACATTTCAGACCCGGATCTTTTGTTTTACAGCTGGGGTTTAAGATAAGCCATGATTTGAAATAAGCCAATTTAATTTTTTAATATTGATCTTTAAAAGTACTAGTTCCACTACGATATTGTTTCAGATATAGCTACACATTTCTCCCTTGTTATAAGTGAAATAATCTGCCAAAGGAACTAGCTTTTTCATCAGTATTCAGGAATTATTAACTTAAAACTAATAAATCGCACTGAAAAGTTATTTATAAGTTAGTTTTGTCTTATTTTCAGTAAATAAAGAGACTTCCCCTAAAAATTGGGCAATACTTGCAAACAGCTTATTTTCACAGTTAATCTGATGAAATGTTGTGGAAGTGAGACTGGGTTGCTAGGTGAAGAGATTGGGTTGCTAGGTGACGGGCGGCGTTCCGCTGGGGTTGCTAGGTGACGGGCGGCGTTCCGCTGGGGTTGCCCGGCAACGGGCCGGGCCTTGCCGGGCTCGCTCATGGCACAGAACCTGCTGATTTGTCAAGTTACATTCCATATAGTTTTGAAACGGCTCATATTCCAGATACCAAAAAAATCACTTATTACCAAAAAACATGTATTTTTTTAAATCTGTTTTTCGAAGCAGTACGACTGAAATGGAAGTACAAGCAGGTGAATTTTGCACATTACGTTTTCTTTATTGAAAAAAGTAATGCAAGCAGAAATAAAGCACCTGGAAAAGCACAGGATAAAAACTCCAATCTGAAATAAAGTCAACTAAACTGATTTTGCAGTAAAATCCCCCCCATCAGAAACATTAAAGACGTCCGCCCGACTCGAGTATTTCTGTCATTTTCCACAGATCATGTTGCCTGACAGTAATTTTTAATATCATCACTCTTCAGGAGCTTTCTTCTTGCCCCCTGCTGAGACTGACATGTCCGCTCTGCATACCAGATATTCCCTGAAACCTCAGATCTGCTGCACCATTAAAGTTTTAGGACTTTCTGCTGCTTTACTTTTAAGTTCGTCTCATGTAAAACTTCATGGTGAATACAGAGCAGCATGTAGATAACATGGCAGGTAAAGACCCAATGTGGGTAAATCACATTTTCATCCAGATTCAGATTAGCTTTTTCATTTTATTTTTTAGAAAATTTACATTTCAAAAAAGGAAACAAAATAAAACACTATTTTACAAACAAGTAACAAAAAAAGCACATGATTTCAGATTATCATCTCATTTATTCCATAGTTTTACACCAATAACTAAAACGCATCTAGATTTTACTTTGAGGTTTTCAACAAACCTTATTGAGACATTAAACTATATTTACTGTCTCTTAACGTAAATGTTTTCTTAATTTCTGAAGATCTCCTACTATTTTTATGTATATAATGAAGGGTTGGACAATATTGTCGCAAAACATATCATGACTGATATACATATCAGTTATTGATTTTTTTTTGTTTTAAATATCTGAAATACTGTTAAACAGTTAGTTGGCATAACCGTTTCCATTTTTTTATTTTTAAGCAGTAATGAGGCACAGCGGCAAAATCATAAAACTGCTGCTGTGCAAGTTGTTGCTAGGTAACCAAAGAGTTAGGGTGTCAATTCAAATTCAAAAATACTTTATTGATCCAAAAGGAAAATTAATAAACATTAAACGCCACCAACCAAGCTTAGCTAGCCCTGGATCCAAGTTCAGTTTATTATTCAAATGGGTTAAAATTGTTTTGTAATGTAAAATGTTTTACATTTTCTACATGTTTCCCAAACAGATGCGTACACAGATGACGACCTGATGCTGTACTGGAAGAAAGGAAACGAATCTCTGAACACGGACGACAGAATATCTCTGTCCCAGTTCCTGATCCAAAAGTTTCACACCACCACAAAGCTGGCGTTTTACAGCAGCACAGGTAGCTGCAACACGGCTGAATTAAAACTTCATTTCTCATGTCAGTTTGAACAAAAAGGATCAGCCATTTCATACAGGAACCTGCCGTTTGCAGAGCAAACAGGACACAGCAAAAAACACAATAAACTATTATCAAGAAGTTTTAGTTGAGTTTCTACTACAAATATCTTAGTACACTTGAAATACAATCAAATTAACATAAAAATAACTTTTCACTTGTTTAGGAAATATGTCTTGTTTCACTCATAACAAGACATATTTCCTACATTATCAGCAAAATGAAGTAAGAACCTTTTCATCAATATTAAGGAATCATTGACTTAAAACAAGCTCCTATAGCTTGTTGAGAGATAGTTCAGTTTTTAAGTGCAGCAAGATATCTGCACTAGAAAATAGTTGGTAAGACTTTGTGTTTTTGCAGTGAAGAATCCGTAATCCTTGCAGCGAACTGAAGCAGACAGGCTGCTGTGAACCTGCTGTGCTCTGCAGGAAACCCACAGAAAGCTTTACACTGTTCACACAACCACATGTCACTTTCCAGCGTCTCAGTGCATGAAAAGGATTTTGTGTGCTATCTTTCTCTGCCAAAGTTGCAGGGACAATTCCTACAGTGTTGACACGGCTCATCAGCTGCCTGACAATGTGGGAATAACTGGCGCTGTCTCTCTTTCTGTGCTGCAGGCTGGTACAACCGTTTGTACATCCACTTCACCCTGCGGCGCCACATCTTCTTTTTCCTGCTGCAGACGTACTTCCCCGCCACGCTGATGGTCATGCTGTCCTGGGTTTCCTTCTGGATCGATCGCAGGGCCGTGCCTGCCAGGGTGCCACTCGGTAGATATATTTTACTAAGAAATAGCCTCTATCAAAGCTTTCTCGATAATTTGGGTACATAATTTGAGTGTCTTAATGCAAACTTTGCAAAAATGACATACACTAGATTAATTAAATGTATATCTCTTGATGTTCGTACATTTTCTATGATGCATAATTGGCATTTTTATACTTCCATTTGGGTTTCTACCAGTTCAAAGTGGTTAAAAAAAAACATCCAGCCGGGTTTTGGCAATAAGTTAGTGTTTTCTGGTGTCTGGAAAATGAGCTGTTTCAAAACATCCCGATAGATGAGCCTGTCGCATTACGCAATAAATCAGTTAATTCAATTTATATGACCTATCATATTTTATTTTATTTTATCTTTCTACCAAAAATTGGAGAACCAAAGGCTGTATAGTCTGGTTTAGTCACGCTGCACTATTACCTAGCAACCTCTGTTGAGCTCTGCCCATTACCTAGCAACCCAATCAAGGTTCCAACACGTTTGGTCAGCTGGTCTTACTGTATGCATTGTACAATGGCTGCTGGAAAAGACAAATGTTTTGTTGTTGACTTACCATCCAGAAACTACTTGCTGTCTTCTTGTTTGTGCAGGAGGCTCCACTTCTGCTTTTGAGAGATGTTCAAATGTTTAATTGCATATCTGTTTGCAGCCATTTTCACGTTCGAGTGTAAACGTTGAGCAACATATTTGGTCAGAAGAGGTCACAAGAGGCCCTAAAACAGTTCATTGTAGGCAGAAATGAGCAGAGTGGGGGTGCAACACAACACACAAAAATGTCTAACTCAAAGAATCTGAGCTATCAAAAACAGTCTTAGACCTCAAGTAATTTGCCATCAATTGAAAATATATTTTACTTTAAATTTTAACTTTTAGGATAATATCAGAAACAGCCCTACTATTCAAAATCTAAATGCTCTCGTTTGCTCCGGTTGCAAACAGGATGTACTAAACAGATGCTTAGAAAAAAACAATGTGTTTGGGTGCCGAAACTTTCTCCAGCTGAACAGAAACAGAAATGATTGTCTTTGGACCTAAAGAGGAACAATCTAGTCAATGCACAAAGCTTCAGTTAGCACAGCTGGAAACAAGGGATCAAGACTCTGACCTGAGCCTTCAGAGTTACAAAATCAGCCTTGCGTCGCCTGAAAAACATTTCCAGGACTAAAGGACTAATAGCAAAGCAAGAGCTAGAGAAACTCGTCCATGCGTTTATCTTTCGTCGTAGTGATTACTGCAACAGTGTTTTCACGGGTCTGTGCAAGAAAATAAAAACCCACCTGTTGGTCAATGAACCCCAATAAATGGGACATTGACAGACATATTTGTTCATGGACTTCCATGAAGTTCCATGAAATTTATAACTGGAAGGCAGTTATGATGGAGTTGGTATGACAACAATGAACAAGCCACAAGCTCGCTCTCGCCTCGTTCTTAATCCCAATTTATAAATAGAAGTACATTAGAGCTAATACTCGATTACAGTTTAAGTACTCAACCCTCCTGAGTAAAACAAAGATCAATTTCAGTGATATTTACTGTAATAGTAGCTGTACTATTACAGGTACATTAGCAGGTAGCTAACGTAGCTTCTACAAGCTAGTTATGACGGAGATGTAGCCTATGTGTTTGTTGCTACATATATTTACCAGTCAACAGAACCTTGTTATTCAGTTTGCACAATCTTTACAAATCTGTTTAAGCATTTTATTTTATGTGTTCATAGATTGCACTTCCTGTAATCTATGAACGCATAGATTACCGACTTAGATTACGAGGTAGGCGTCACATTAGGAGGTTGGAGACCTGACATGTTTTCATTATCCGATTCATACGGGTCGATCCCAACAGCAGCCATTATGTTAATGTGTCTTTCTCTTGCACATTGGTCAAGAGAGTCAACATATTTTCTTTTTGTTCACTGTATAATGTTTTTATGTTTAATTTAAAGACTTTGAACTGAAATGTGCCATATAAATAAACCTGGTTTAACATCACGGAGCGGAGCGTCGGTTTTTAATTCCCCGTGTGTTTACCAAAGTGTTTGTCATCATCCTCTCTTCAGGTATCACTACAGTGCTGACCATGTCCACCATCATCACCGGGGTCAACGCCTCCATGCCTCGCGTGTCCTACATCAAGGCTGTAGACATTTACCTGTGGGTCAGCTTCGTCTTCGTCTTCCTCTCGGTGATCGAGTACGCGGCGGTGAACTACCTCTCAACTGTGCAGGAGAGGAAAGAGAGGAAGCTGAGGGAGAGAGTAAGTTATTTCTGTTTGCTTGTTTGTTGGGTTTTTCTCTATGTTTCCTGCCTGCTGTGAAATATAAATATGATTTTGATCTGATGGCAAAATTTTTCAAACCAGAGAGTTTTTAAATATTTCATATTGGTTTTGTAAGTGAATATAAAAAACACAAAAAACAAAGTTTGAAATCGGAGCTGGTTTTAACATTACACTGAAAGTCACAGCATTCCAGTTAAAGTAGTTGGAGATATTAACATAGTTTTTCATAAGCAAACATCACTTTAACTTATTTCAGTAATGACATTAGATTCACTCTTATATGCTATTATTAATGGGTCGGCCATATTGAAACGCAAAGACTGCCTTACAAATTATAACTGGATCAACTTTCCCAGTAGGAAGCCTGACTTCAGTGGGCTTTCCAGTTGTTTTTTTTCTCTGACTGGGACACTGGAAATTATGAGTTCTGACTAGAAATTGAATGCACCAGGTAACTACTGAAGAAGCTGTCCTGTTGACTTGTCCACATTTTTTGTTCTCAGTAGCAGAAAGAAGATAAAAGTTCAAAAGATGAAATAAAATGTTCCACATTCTCGTTAGCTTTCCTGGAGTTTTTTTTAACTCGGTACATTCGGATAAGATCTGGGATAATTTCCAAATGTATAAAGGAATATGCTAAAAAAATAGGTTTTTATATACTTGAAATATTTGCCTACAATTTATGAGATTTGTCAACATCAATCTTTGCAGTTGCAGTCAGTAAGTTGGTGACATTTCAATATTTCATTAATTCTCCTGAGGAACACAGAACATTCTTTAAACCTAAACTAGATACTAAAAAGCATATTTTGGTCAACATTGGCTTAGAAAATATTGAAGTTTTGTTACTGTGGTGAAAGAAAACCTGTTTAAACACAGAAAAGTCAGACATTTAAACCGAGTTCGTTGATGCATCAGTGAAGGCTGACCTGATTTATGGGGAAAATATTTCCAAACTGGCAGAAATAAGCGTTAATGATTCATGTCCTTTGCCAATAAACAGATAAATATTTTCTGAATCGTCTCTCTTTAAGCTCCTCAGAGGGCCACGGTAAATTATTTCTGGGAATGCGGAGCTGCTATTCTTCATGTGCCAAATGTTGTGGCATATGGAGCCAAACTGCCCACATACCTCGAGGAACATTTCCAGCGAAAACATCTTCAATAAATCTCCCACAGCAAACTCATTCCAATGCCCTTAGTGTGATACAGAAATAAGCACACTTTAGAGACAAGACAGTTTATTACCTTTGACAATAAAATTCACATTTTGCAAGTTTTTGTTCTTCTATTTGGGTTTGTAGTGCTTCTTAAAAAAATCCCAAACGCTTAAAAAAAATTCAGCTGTATTTTTTTATTTTTATGCAATAAGTTAATTATTTTTGGTATCTGGAAAATTAAACTACGGAATGTAGAGCCACTAATCAGCAGGAACTGCCCCTCACCGAATGCCCTCCGTGAAGGTGAGCCCATTACCTGGAGAGTTCTGTTACCTAGCAACCCCAGGAGAGTTATTTCTGTTACCTAGCAACCCCAGGAGAGTTATTTCTGTTACCTAGCAACCCGAGTTGAGTTCCAGCAGGTTTAGTCAGCTGGTTTTACTGCTGGAGAAGAAATGTGTTTTGTTTTTGGCTTGAAATCCAGAAACCACTTGCTGCATTCTTGTTGGTTGTCTAAGAGGATCCCCTTCTGCTTTGTAAAGATGTATGGTTGTATAATTGTGCATTTTTGCAGACATTTTTATGTGCCAGTGAAAACATTGTGGGGCCTGGTCTGCAGCAGCTTATTTGGATTTAAAGTGACAAGATGCCCTACATCAACTCATTCTGAAAGGAGGTCAAATGCAACAGACTATTAGGATTATACTAATTTTTATAATTAATAATAAAAAAATAAAATAAAACTAAGAGTAGTCATATGACAGTAAAGTTAAAATAATATGAGAATAAAGTTAAAATACTACAAGAATAAAGTTGTGATTTTATGGGAATAAAGTATGAATAATTATGACTATTCTTATTCTCGTAATTTTCTTATTTTTATTTTCATAGCATAGCCCTCATACCGTCATACTCTAACCAGACTAAAATCTCATTATCTAAGAATAATTTTGAACAAAGCAATTAATGAAATGACTAAAGAGGCCTTAAAGTAAATGTGATTTATGCACCTTTTACCTTTAATGTTTGTTTATGTCGTTTAGCTGCCATGCACATGTGGCATCGGAAACCCCGACGACATGATGATCGACCCACAGATCACTGGCTACGGCTCCATGGACGTCAACACCACGGGGAATTATGGGATACCTGAGAACGGCGGGCGCCAGGAGCGAATCCTGGCCCAAGTGGCGCTGAACGACCCTCAGATCACGGGTCAGGTGAAGGCGTCCCGAAGCTACGTCAACATCTGGATTGACACCCACGCCATAGACAAATACTCTCGGGTCGTCTTCCCCGGCGCGTACATCCTCTTCAACATCATTTACTGGTCCATATACTCGTAAACTGTGACGCTTTAAATAGAACGCGATTGGATAGCCGTCGGGCTAGTTAGCCGGCTAGATAGCCAGCAGGCTAGTTAGCTGGCCGGATGGCTAGCGAGCTGGCGGGCTGTTTAGCCGACTGGCTAGCGCAGAAGCTAAACCGAAGCCCTGTCGGAGGATAAACTGGGGAGCAACAACAGATGGAAAACTTTTGCCTTCTTGCCCCAGCCACTTAAAACTGATGAGAACACCGTTTTATCACTCCGTCAAATCCGTGTGCTTTTGCGTATCTGGTGTCGATGACGACGTTGGACTTTGTAAAAAAAAAAAGAAAAAAGAAGTGACAAAACCGCCATTTAAAAAAAATGTCCGCTCTGTAGGAAAAACTGGGCCTGACAATCAACACAGACGTGGAAAGCCTCAGAAGAGCAAAGTGACGCTGTTTTCAGGTTTGTTGGCAAAATCGACTCATTTAAGGTGGAAAAACTTTAAATGAGCTTCTGTTTCCAAGGTTTAAGGGAATTTACCTGCTAATACCTCTAATTTAAACTTTCGTTTTTACTTAATTCACATTCATGTGAAGTTTGTCATGATGCTACATGTTGAAGTATTTCTACTGGCGATATGGAGATTTTCAGATCCAACAAAATATTCTTGGGCCATTGTAGATGAGGTACATTTTGGTCAAAAAACTCAGAAATCTTTTAATTATTCTCAGAAGTTTTCTACAAAAGATGGCATTTATGAGATTTAAAAGAACTTGTTAGAAATATTTGACATTTAGAAAGTTTGCAAGTTTGAAAAGTTAAAAAATTAAAACTTTTGAAATGTAGAAATTTCTAAGTTTTGTTGAAATTTTTTGTAGGAAAACAACTTTTTTCTTTTTTTAAATGAGTTTTTTTTCTCAAAACATTGTGAGATTAGTCTAAAAATTTCTGAGTATTTCCAAACAGATTTTGTTACAAGTTCAAGTTTTGTATTCAGTTCTCATGTTAGATTTCCAGATTTTCTGCATCATGACTCAGTTTATGTTGCATAAATTTTTGATCAGTGGAACTGTTTTATTGCCAATCTGTTTAGGTATAATGAAGGGTTGTAAAATATTTGCATAATATAAGAGGTCAATCCCAAACACTTGTTTTAGTATTTTTTTAAACATCTATTTCCTGTTCATTTTTTTATACTGAAGCTGATCTCCTATGTTGTTGTTGTGAGGCTTTGAGGTTCACTGTGACCTGTTAGTTGATAGTTTTATCTTTTATCATAAAGTTTGATGAAATTAAATAGATATCTACAGATGAAGATTAGAGCCACTGAAAAAAAAAATCAGATTTTTTTTCTCAGAATTTACATTTTAAAATATTAAAATCAGAGTGCTGAAGGAAAAAATCTTATAAGAAAATAGAGAATTCTGAGGAAACAGAATTCTTAGAAAAAAATCTAAATTTTGAGAAAATTCAAAAATCTTAAAAGTCAGAAATAAATTCAGAATCCTTTCATTTTTTCAGTCACCCTAATCATCTTCTGTAGATATTTAATTTGTAAAATGACCAAACGTACTCCGATTGAGATAAAGTAAAGATTGAAGATAACTGTTTTATTTTCTTAAAAATGTGAAAATTGTTTGTGCTGAATTTATCACAGCTGATGTAAATTCCCTCTTGCATGCAATATAAGAATGATGAAGAGCTTTGACATGCATGGCTGTGATTATTTTTAACCTTAATAAAAGAAAGAAATTAGACAAAAATAAGAGTGAAAACTGAAGCAAAACCGGAATAACTTTAATTTTGAGCTCATCATTTATTCAAACTATACTTTTTAAGGTTAACGTTTGAATTTGCATCAAACATTAAGAATTTTTTCTGTCATCTTGTTTTTTATTTGCGAGAAAATTAAAGTAGGTTTTGGAGCCAATTTGAGCGATTTAGCTGTAGCACTTGACCTGAAAATGATGCTGCCACCACCATGTTTGACAGCTAAATCAAAGTCTTTTGTATTTTCTGGGTTTTTCTGGAACATGATTCTGATGAATCCGATCAACTTGGATTCATCAGAAGTGAGTTTGGGTTTGAATTGTTAGGATTTTGGTGCAGTTGAATGCTCCAACAGTAATAATCCAAATTATACATCATAAGTAGCTTTTAATATACAAAGCAGGAAAACATTTAAGTTGATGGAATTCAGTTCTATGGAAAATAGATTAAAAGTTGGGGTTGTGCCACAAAATCCACCAAAGCTGTTCAAAATAGTGATGAAATATCAAACCAAAAGTACCAGGCGTTTGTTTTTGGGGTATAAAATGCTTGTAGTTTCTGAGACCTTTAAATTTTGACTTTGGATTTATAAACTGAACTGAAACTAGAACTTGTGCACTGAATTTATGTCTTTGAACTGATGCTGCTTTTTTGCATAAATTCCCAGTATTGCTACTTTAGCTGTCAGTTGTGAAAACATCACTAAGATCTAAATGACAGGATGTGTGCATGTAAATTGCATAAAGCCCAGTTTGGTCCAACGCCAAATGTTTTTTAAAAAAAAGTTCAAAGTGAAGCACCCCCTGCAGTTAGGGAGGCACATTGCAGCATTAACATTCATTGGAGGCCACATCATGAGTTCCTGCTCACCTGTGAAAGAGATTCAGCTCTGAGCGTTTTCCTTTAACTCTGCATTTCATCTCCAAGCAGCCTCGGGGAAATATCCGACTCTTCATTACTTAAAAGCTGCTGAAGATGAGAAAATTTAAAAACTGGAAAATTATGCTGCAAAAGACACAAAGACGGAACAACGGCAAAATCTTACCAAGTATTTTGGTTTGTTTATGATCTCCACTGAAACACTTAACATCTGTAAATATTCAGTGTGTAAACAGATGTTTTCACTAAGAAAAACAAATATCTAGTGGTCTTTGTCTAATATCTAATGTAAATATCTTATCACACTTCAAATAAAACACAATTACTTGCAAGTAGCTTTAGAGCACAATAGGAGCTTGATCAGTACTAAAGTACAAGTTTCACAGGCAGATCATTTCACTTTTACCACGGAAAAATGGCTTTATAAGTTAACATGTTAAATCAATATTTAAGAATATTGATTTTTAAATCAATATTCAGTGTTGGCTTAAAAAGTTCTTATATTGCTGAAAAGTTACTTGTAAGTTAGTTTTGTCTTATTTCAACAAAACTAAAATATTTGCCCAAGAACTAGAAATACTTGGTAAGAGTTTGTGTTTTTGCAGCCCTGCTGAGTTTTTAGTAAACAGCACACCACTTACTTTTTTTATTTGTAAAAGAAAATGAATTCATAATCACAATTTTCTTTCTGCTTCACCTTTTTACACCACTTGTGTTGGTTTATCATTTTAAATGCATTGAAATTAGTTTCAAAGTGCCATTAATTTGTTGTTTTAGCATTAATTGTTGAAGTGAAACCGCCCAGCCGAGTTCAGGGAGTTTGTGTGTCTCGATGTGAGTTGTTGTTTCTGCCCTCTGGTCACTTCTCCTCTCTCAGTTTGGCCAGCCTGAAGTCGTCCCTGACTCGCTGCAGCAGATCCGAGCAGCACAGCACATCCACAGCTGTCATAGCCAGAGCCTTGGCCGCCCGCAGGGCGTACAACTGGGCCTCCTCGGCTCCTGGCGCAGGAAGGAAAATAAAACGCTACAAATAGAAACCACCACATGACATGGAAGGGATCTTCATTGAGTTCATTTTTATAGCCAGAAACCAATAGTTTTATTTAGTTATGACTTTTTGGTTGTCTAATTCAGTTAGTTTTAGTGTGTTTGCTAGATTTATTACTTAGTATTGTTAGTTGAATGTAATTTTTATTATCTACAGCAGTATTTCTAGTTTTTTCATCTATTTAAAAAAATAGACTAAATTTTTCTGGAACAACAAACTGACTGTTTTTTTTTTTTTTTTTTGTCTCCTAAACTTTGCAGTCGACGTTTTGCAGACACTTTGTGTCTGGATCGCCGTAATTTGCCGACACATTTCTCATATCGTGTTCACACTTCAGTGAACTTTGTAACTGACGGCCATCTTGATAGGCAGTTGCTATGGCGTTGCTATGACTACAATAAATAAGCCACGAGCTTAGAACTATCATCTTGTTCATATTTAACTTATAAAATTACAACTATTACTCAATTACAATTTTTGAGCACTCTACCCACCTCTGTGTAATACTAAGATAAATATCAGTGATATTTACTGCAGTACTTACTGCCTAGCTACCAAAGTTAGCTTAGCTAGTGTAGCTTTTGGACATGTAGCATACATGTGTCTTGCTACTTGTACTTACTCTGCCAGTGCCCAGGATTTTGTTTTTCACCCAAAGAGTTCGTACGTCCTTTACAAATCCATTTAAACATTGATTTTATGCGTCCATGGATTTAACTCTGTGCTCAGTAGGTAGGTAACTATGTCATAGTATGAGATCGGCGGTAGCATGTCCATATCGTCTGACACGTTCGATTGCAATAGCAGCCATTTTGTTACGTTTCTTTTCCATGTGGCTAGAGATTGTCAATATAATGTATTTTTGTTGGTTTGGAAGCCACCGTTCATCTATATTTCACCAGTTGTTTTTCTCCATTAATTATAGTTTTTAATTACTTAATGTTTTTGCTAGTTTTAGTTAAATATAATAATTTTGCTGTACCTGCTGCTTCAGCATATTTCTCTGTGTGGTTTAATGCGTCGGTGCCGATGTGGAAGAACGGGTGGATCCCAGGCACTATGAATGAAACGTTGCCAAAGTCTGTGGAACCTGCCGGATAATTAGAAACTCATTGTGATAATGATTCTGTGTGGAAACAATCCTGCTGCTAAATATTAGCACTGCAAAACAGAGGAGATTAAATATTTACCAACCAGAGAAGCTGGCTGGCTGCTCAGGAAACACCATGCCCAAAGCTTCTCCGTTGGTTTTATACAGTGTTGCCAGTGTTTCATTAGGCTGAATGTTAGAGTAGGTATGGGCCGGGTAGATTATCTCCACCTACAGGGACCAAAGGGAAACAATGTGTTTACAATTTAAGATTTAAAAGAATTGGCAAGTTTACTTTAAGAATGAAAAGAATAATCCTCATTGTTTGATTGTTGCGTTACCATATAGCTCCAACCTCATAAGTTCAATCTTTTCTTTCTATTTGAGCTTGGTTTGTATTCAAGCTGTTCTGTTTGTGTGTTTCCTGAAACTAGAGCCTGTTTAGATCAGCTGCAGTCTGAGGAGACGTATAGCTCAAAGGTAGCGGTTATGCAACAGCAACAAACATTCTGGAGCATAATTACAGCAATGAGATAAGAAAAAGATGATGCTACACGACAGGTGAGTCACGGACAGCAGCTCACCTGGCAGCCTGTGGCCAGAGCCGCAGCTCTGAAACACGCCTCAGCTTTGGCCTTCAGCTCCCGAAGATCGCCGAGCCGCGGGGTTCGCAGATAAAACTCCAGCTCCGAGTAGGCAGGGATGATGTTGGGCTTCACCCCTCCGTGTTTGATGATGCCTGTTAGGAAGGAAAACAGAGACAACAAAAAATGGAGGACAGAAAATTAGAGCATCCACTTTCTTATTATATGCAGTAACAAGGTTTACACTTGGCAGATATTATTAAATGTTGTTTTAAACTAGCCATATAATTGTGCAGATAGAAATTACTAAATTAAATTTGTTAAATGAAAACATACCAATTAAAAAAAACAACCTTTAATTGGTGTGTTTCCATTAAGCAAATTTATTATCGTAATTCCAATTTGCTCAATGGCAATGCAGCTGCTGTTTATCAACAAGGAAATCAAAATTTAAAAAATAAACGCTTAATAGGAACAAGCCAATTTTGGACAAACATCTTGCTGTTGATCATGTGACTCATGATGCGAAAATAATGTTTCAATTTTGCAAAATAACCCAATTTTGATTCGGCTAAAAAAATACAAATACAAAAATTTACATAATTCACAAAACTGCATTGGAAGCACTTTTTTCGCATTACAAGTCACATGACCAGCAACGGGATGTTGCTACTGATGAAAATGACAAAGAAGACGACAGGAAGTGGGAGGAGGATGATGACGCATCATGTTTTTAATAAATAATTATGTGAACAAACGTATTCATGTATTGTTTTAATTGTTTCTTATTTAATGGAAACATCGCAGTTGCAAAATTGTGTGTTTTTTTTTTACATTAGTGGAATATCAACAAAGCTTTGCGTGCATTTCTAAATAAAAATGCAACTAGTGTTTTTTGGGATTTCACTGAGTATTTATAAATGAATGGATAACATAGTGAAAATATGGCTTTGAAATATGAACACCCACAATTTTCTCTCTATACCAGGCTAATCAAACTGAAATAAAGCTGTTAACTTTTTTCCCCTCACCATGAAGTTTCCACTCAGGCTTCAGCTGCTGTCTGAGCGCAGAGAGGTTGCTGTAAGCCAGCACAGCAGCATCCAGAGCGTTCACCCCCTCCCACGGATACGCAGAAGCATGAGACGCCTTCCCGTGGTACTTCACTGACACCCTGCGACATCACCACGCTTAGTTTAGGTTTTTATTTCAAGGGAGAAAGAGAAGAAAGGAAAAGAGCTCACTCAGCGATTGTGACGGTGGGAAGGAAGGAGGCGTCCTGCTGAGCCGGATGAGCCATGAAGATGAGATCCACATTAGTGAAAGCACCGGCTCGGATCAGGTCGATCTTTCCTCCAATCGCCTCCTCTGCGGGTGTTCCCAGAACGGTTATCTGGGATTAAAAAGGTTCAGTAACCTCATGACAATATCAGCTTGCATGTGCCAGTCATGATCCAAAGATGTCAATTGGCCTAATATGAAAGGGGATCTATTAAGCAAAATTTACATTTTGCATATTTTTGTACTTCCATTTGGGTTTGTTTGTAAGAGAAGTCCCAGTATTTAAAAGTTTCTTGACAATAAGTTAAAGATTTTTGGTGTCTGAAAAACTAGCCACTCGAAAAACTTTCAGAATATAACAACATAAATTAACGGGCTGCTCAGCTGTTTTACTGCTGCATGTGTTGTACAATGGCTGCTGGAAAAGACAAGTGTTTTGTTGTTGACCTGCCATCTATAAATCACTTGCTGTATTCTTTCCAGTTGTGCAGGCGGCTCTGCTTCTGCTTTTCAAAGATGTGTGGTTGTGTAATTGTGCATTTGTTGACAGCCACTTTTATGAGTGTTTGTAAATGTACAGTTGAGGCGCATGGCCCGCAGCAGATTTAAAGTGACAAGACATTGTAAAACATCTGAAAACAGCCAGAACAGCCGACTAAATTCTCATTATTTAAGAACGATTTTGTGCAACAAATGTAATAAACATGTTTTAGACCAATCCTGTTCCAGGAATCATAATAGGTCACCTTTCAAATAAAGTCAAGATTATGAGACCGTATGCATTTTATCGTCATGAAAGCATAGGCTGTTTTCATCTTTAGAAAAGTTTCTCCAATCAAGCTTCCGCTTACATCATTCTTCAAACTACCAGCTCAACTAGTAAACAGAAATTATTGCTTATATATTTGATCAAAATAAAGTTTTCATAAACAAGATGATGTAATGGAGGAGACATAGAACTGTGTGTGTGTGTGTGTATATATATATATATATATATATATATATATATATATATATATATATATATGTATATATATATATATATATATATATATATATATATATATATATATATATATATATATATATATATATATAAAAAGCTTGGAGAAGAAAGTCAAAGATGTGTTTGTGGTTGAAGAATTAGAGATTTTTTTTCCCTGTATGGAAGTACCAGAGTGTCACAAGTAACTAAAGTAAGTGTGGATGGATCTTCCTGTTTCAATGTAAAGTCTGCCTTACAAAATTAAAGTCATTGATCATAGGGATGTCATATTGAGTAGAATGTAGAATGAAAAAAAGTAGAGGAGTAAATTTCCATCAAAATTTTCTAAGAAAAACAAAGAAATTTCTGAGTGTGTTTAACCAAATAAATAAATAAATAAATAAATCACTTTTGATGAAAAAAGACATGGCCCATTTCTTTAGGAAGGTGTCGATATTTAGAACATGTTACAGGACTTATTGACATTTGGTACTTTTGACATTCCATAGACGTCTGGTGTAATTATTACCAGTTAGCTATCTAGCTAACTCTGGGACTTTGCACTTCCTCCCAGTGAGGGACCCGTACCTCCACTGGGAGTCCCGGCTGGGTCTCCACCGCCGCCTTCAGCCCCACAGCAGCCGCAGCTCCCACTTCCGCTATCAGGTTGTGACCGCACGCGTGGCCAATTTCCGGCAGCGCGTCATACTCGCACAGGAAACCCACGTTCAGCCGCCGGGGTTCCCCGGTGGTACCGACCGAACCCCAGCTGGCCCGGAACGCGGTCGGTAGCTCGTAGTGGCTTTGGACCGTCCATGCCCGGTCCTGCTCGGAGAAGAACCGAACCAGCACATCGTGTGCGTTCACTTCCTGGCCAGCGACTTCCGGTCGGGTCCAGATGTCCCGGCTCAGACCGTGCAGCTGCTGCTTCAGTGACTCTATGCGCTGCTGGAGGGCTTTCTTCATCTGGTTCCGGTTCGCCATCCCCACAGCACCGCGGGAGGTCCAAACAGAACCAGAATTTTAGTTCATTCCTACATTAATCTGAGAAACACTCAAGAAGTTCATCCTGATCAATAAACATTCATGAACGGCTCGAAGTGGGCGGAGCTTCCGACCGGAAGTAGTTCCGGTTGTCCTAATTTAATTAGTGGTAAATTACCTGAGACACTGCAAAAACACAAAATCACACCAAGTAGTTTTAGTCTCTTTATAGAGCAAATATCTTAACACACCTCAGATAAGATAAAAGGAACTTATATGTAAATGTTCACCAGCTTGTTTTAAATCAATAATCACTGAATATTATTGTTAAATATTCAACTGGCAGAATATTTATTTAAAAAAAACTTATTCAATGCCACAAGTGAAATAACAAAGTAACTAGTACCTTTTAAAATCAATATCAGTAAATTATTTATTAATATTGATCTACCATATTTCTTGCTGAAAAGTAAGATATAAGTCAGTTTCATCTTATTTCAATGTATTAAGATATTTGCACTAGTAGTTTTTTCTATGAAGTAATAATAGGGACAAATAATGCTGCGTAGCTTTTAAGGGCACTTTATGATTAATTTCTAAAACAAGATGTTTAAACTTTGCCGGAATCACATTCTTCTCAAACAAAATCCAGCTTATTCACATAATTACACAACAGAAAACAATAATATCTAAATATAGCAACAAATCACCAAAATATAATGTTGTATGGGTTCTGTGTTTGTTCATTAATGTTTTGAGGCCAGAAAAAGAACAGATTAATTTATATTGAGTTTAAATTACTCAAAAAGGGACTTTTCTGTATTTTATTTAGATTATAAAACAAGTATGTTTTATTATTAAATTGCAATTACTTTGTTTTGTTCTAATAAACAAAATAGGCCAATTAAAGGCATTTGCATCCACATCGTCACTAGAGGGAGCCAGAGTCACATTTTTCCTGCTGGTGAATGAAACAAATGATCTAAAGAGGGAATTTGTGTCATAGTGTAATTTATTTACAAATGCAATTAAGGACTACTTCACTTATTGATTAATCAATTATCCTGATGATGAATCGATCAATTCAATTAAAAAATAAAAAATTCAAACTTTTTATTTATTCTTTTTTATAGAAATACACAAATAAGTGCAAATAACTAATTTATTTCAGTTTTAATGAAGACAAATAAGGTTTAAAAACGTTTCTTGCCTAAAATACAAGAAAGTCTGATGATAATTTCTTGGATTAACCAATTAGATGGCAAAGATGCTTAATAGAAATTTTTTATAATAATTATTTTTTCAACACGATATGAAGTAGGTGAAACTAAAACTATCACTTGAAGAGTTTCAGGAAGAATAAAGAAGTTTTTGTTGATCTTAAATGTGAATATTTTTGTAAAGTTTTGTCTTAATTACTGCTCTGAATATGTTGATGTTTCAGCAAATGGGTCTATGTATTGATTAATTTAGTTAATTGATTACTAAATTAGATGATTATTCCAGTAATCATTTATTGCGATTAATATATCCAATTAATCATTTCAGCCCTAATTTCATTTTATTAACGATACAGTCTATATAAATTGACTCTCAGAGGGAGTGCAGGTGTAAAATCAGTGTGTGACACGGAGAGCAGGTGTACTTGTGCGTGTTTTTCTGTGTGAGGTTAATTGGGATCGGCTGTCAGTCACAGGAGGAAACATGTCGCCACGGCCGCCTGTCAGCCTCGTCCACGCCCCGCCGGTGACGCCGCCATTTTGTTTCAGTTGACCTACCCACGCGTGACCCCGCTGACCTCTGCTGCGGGAGCATGTGTTTGATTTCACATGCTTTCACGGGGGGATTTACGTCAAATAAATTAATTTACTCACTCTTATATGACGGCGCATTAGGGTAAGGAGTCAATTTTAGCCCCCAATTTAAATAAAATTCTAGAAAAAAAATTGGAAATGTTTGAGTTTGAAAAGTCAAAAATATGTTTGGACAAAAATCTGAAATTTTTACATTAATCTCAGAAATTTTCTAGACAAAACTCAGAAACTCTTGAGTTTGTACAATTGAAATTTTGCTTAAAAAAAATACATTTTAATTCCAGATATTTTCCATGAAAATGAAGGACATTTCTGAGTTTGGAAAGTCCACATTTTGCTGCAACAGAAATCAGAATATTTTGTTGAAAAAAAAGAAGAAATTCCTGGCTTTCAACAGAAACTGATAATTGTAAAAATTTTGGAGATTAATTTCAAAATGTACAAGTGTTTCCAAAAAAAACTTGTACATTTTTGTTTGTTTTCTAGCAAATTTTTAACTTTTGTTTATGTAACTTTATGTTCTTTTCAATAAAATGTTTGAGCTTTTATGGCAGAGGATTTCACTCCTTTTTTACGATTTATGGGAAGACATTTTTTCCATTTTATAATTTGCCTGTGAACTAGTACTTTTTCATCAATATTAATGAATTATTGACTTAAAACAAGCCTCTAAATCTTTCAGAAAAATTACTTATAAGTTTCTTTGTCTTATTTCCAGTGCACTAATAAACTATACCAAAAACACTCTAAGATTTGTGTTTTTGCAGTTTGTCACACAATCTCTTACTTTTTGTTGCTTCAAAACTTCAGTATTGTTTTTGAGGAACTTGATTTTTATACATAAAATTCAAGCCCAGTGGAGGGAAGTGACATCATCCTGTCTGCATCACTTTCAAATGAGATGCAAAGCGTGAAGAGTCCCAACAGAAATCCTGCCTGTTGTGCTTCATATTGCAAACCGAGCCACTCAGCGGGGCGAGCAAATCCCCCGAGGGAAAGTGTGTGTGTGTGTGTGTGTGTGTGTGTGTGTGTGTGTGTGTGTGTGTGTGTGTGTGTGTGTGTGTGTGTGTGTGTGTGTGTGTGTGTGTGTGTGACAGTCCCTCTTCTGTCATTACCATCACATCAGTGCATGCTCTCTGCCTCTGCGTTCACCAAGCAGTAATACATTTACACCTCGGTTTGGAGGTGAAATTACCCGCTGCAATATTTGCTTTATGTTTGTTGTGTTTGCATGATCGAGTTTAGCTTCATTTCTTCCTCTCAGACGTTACAAGATGGAAAAAAAATCAGTTTTTCTAATTTTACAGCTGCAGCAGCTTATGCGTTTCAATTTCATTAAGCTAAATGATTATTCTGTTTATTTATTGGAATCTTTTCATTTTTAATTCGTTTGCAATAAATAGGGAAGTCATTTTCTTTATGTGGGTTGAAGGTTTATTTCTGTTTTTGCAAGAAATTGACAATATTCGGATGTTTTGTTCATTTTGTTTGTTTCCTATGTTTCCTCCTGAGTGTATCTCCACTTCTTTCTTTGTTTGGCAAAGGAAAAGCGTCTGACCCAATAACATCAGCCTTTGTTGGCAGGCTGGGGAACGGTGGGTGGACAAGCAGTCCTTCAACCTGCAGACAAGCCATGATCAGCAGGGCTGCTTGCAAAGTGGAGCCGAGTGAAGACCATAAACCGGTAGACTTGGTTCGGCTTGGGACCAAACTTGCAACATTTGTTGCATTTCCAGCTGCTGCGGTTTGCTTTCACACTGCACTGAATCAAATGAACCAAATCGTTTAAAGAACCTGTTCCCCTCCTCGCCTGTGGCGGCGCTGCACCACTAAAGAAAATAACACAAAAAACTCTGAAGGAGACGTCTAACGCACCTTCCTTCATCCAGTCAGATTTCATTTTTGTCTTTGGCTCAGGACCACAAGCCATTTCTCCTGCTAGCGCTAGGCTAACACCTTTGGTTTGGTTTCATTTACCCAGAATGCCCTGCTCTGTAGTCCACTTCCAGCCTGGTTCGCTTGCTGTTCACATATGCATTCAAACTGCACCAGAGTTCACTTCAACCGAACCGAGACCGAGGTCCGAAGGTGGACCAGAGTTTAATTAGCATTCCCACCTCCCAACCGAACCGGACTTTCTAGGCTAACGGCCTGGAGTTGGATTAAAGCTGATTAAACAGAAGTGATGTTTGCCTAGATTTCTACTATAAATGTTAACATCAAGCATATTAAATGAGTGTGGAAAATGTTTTAGAAAATCAGTCTCAGACTGTTCACTCCCTTCCTCCAAATAGAAGCTTTTTATTATAGGTTTTCTGTTTCTTGGGACTACATATTAAAATGAGGTAAGGAACTCCTCTTCCTCCTCCTCCTTCTCCTCTTCAGGGGATCCTCCATCTTTTATTACTGCTTTGAGCTGCCAGCTGCAGGTTGAACACAGAGATTAACTGGGAATGTATGTTTTCTGTGTGAAGATAAGACCTGTGATGACACAAAGGAAAGGTCAGCAAGACGGCAGGAGACAGAAGAGCAGTGGAGAAGAAGCTGGTCTGCAGGAAATGAAGCAGCAAATACTTTCATATATTTGAAGTATTTCTGTCACTTTTAATGCCAGGTTGAATATTGGATTTGAATGTGTGTAATTACCTGTCAGAAAACAACTCTATCACTGGCAAATAAACTTTATTGATAACAACAAACTGTAATTTAGAATTAAATTTCTCATTTTATATCAGTAGCATCATGTTAGCGCTGTGTGCTAGCAATTAACTCCTTGAGTACATAACCATACTTAAATTATGTTTAATTTTCTAAACTTCTTAATATATTTTTTGTATTTATGTATAACTCTGTATAGTTTTATATGACCTGAACATTAAGCTAGTGATGTGGCCGGCATATTTCCAGAAGGGGCTACGGCCTCCCTGGACCCCCCTTTGGGGATATCACTGCTTTGGGATTAGAATTTCTTTACCAGATTATTAATAATAGGTAAAACAGTTAAAATTTTAGTGCCAATCATCCTGGATGCCAATGTGGGTGAATCTTTATTATTGCAGACAGAGTGTTTGCATTGTGTAGCATGAGGATAAACAACATTGGGTAGTTGCAGCAATATTTAACTAGAATTATTTCGTACTTGTGTAAATATGGTAGTATGTTTACACAAGATGCATTAATTCTTCTGCAAACATGTCCAAAAAAAAGTAAAAAAAATCCAAGGCAGGCTGGATCAGCAGTTGATGAAATTATGTAAGCTACCGTACGGAACACAAAACAAAGCAATACTTGAGCTTCATTTGTTTC